ATCAAACTGTAAAGGAAGGCGAAACAGCTCGCTTTGAGCTGGAGCTTTCTCACGAGAACATCCCCGTCACCTGGTACAAGAACGACAACAAAATTCATCCGAGCAGAACTGTTGTCATTCATGTGGATGGAAAGAAGCACGCGCTAGAAATGAGAGAAGTGACTCTAGATGATATCTGCCAAATTAAGGCTGAGGCCAAAGGAATTCTTTCCATGGCCAACCTGACAGTTATAGGTAATCCAAGAATACCGACCTGTCCTTTCTGTCCTCATTGTCAAGTGTGTCGTCCTTCCCGCAGCTTTGTGTACACTTTGTCCATTGTTGTGTCTGTCTGGGTCTACAGAAGTCTTGTATCCTTGTCTCTGTGATATATACGAAATCATTTTTTGTGGTTTTTATTTGTGTTTCTCGTGTGTCCTCACTGTCGTGTTTTGTGCGCTGTACATTTGTGGTGTATTGTGGAATTACCCCAAAATATTCCCATTCTAGAGGGAGATCCGTACTTCACAGTTAAGCTGCAGGACTATACTGCAGTGGAGAAAGATGAGGTGGTTCTAGATTGCGAGCTCAGCAAAGACGTCGATGTCATGTGGTACCACAATGAGGCCGAGATCAAGGCTTCTAAGACGGTGAACGTTAAAGCTGAAGGCAAACGCAGAGTCCTCATAATCAAGAGAGTTGGGGACAAAGACAAAGGACAGTACCTGTGTGACTGTGGGACAGACAAGACGACTGCGACTCTTCACATTGAAGGTAAAGACCCAGAAATCTTTTGATTTTGATATTTGGTCATTTTGAGGCAGCTTCCTTCCCGTCTTGATACTCGTCTTCACTTGCACAGCCCGTGCATCGCGTCCTATCGCTCACTCTTTTTTGCATTTTTTTACTTGAAGCACTTCACTTTCCAATCAGCGTTTACTGGTTGTTTCCGTCTCTCTCCATTAACAGCAGAAACTGGAAGACTAAAAACTAAAAGTTTCCAAAAACGTGGCTGCAGAAGCTAAACTGTATTCGAATCTATGTGTCAGTCCTGTGGTGTCGTTGTCATGTCGCTGACTTTTGGTTATGAGATTTCCTTTTCTTTCTTTATTGTCTTTCGAAGCACTTTGTCACTTTAGTAATCACACAGTTTCAAACTGGATCATCACAACATTTTATTACCGGTACCACGAGGCACTGGTTTCTGTGGTCGAGTCCAAATTCATGGGCTGCATCCTTCTGAGGACCCGGCCTTTGTGGTCTACGTGGGCCGGGTCCTCAGAAGGTCGGGTAGGCCGGAAGTAAACGGCTGTGAAATTGGACGGTCTAGCCTTCTGATTAGCGTCACCGCTGTCTCGGTGGAGTTTAATAAACTCAGCCGTCTGCTCCTTGCTGTCTAAAATATAACAGGACACTGGCGTAAACTCTCGACCGTCTCATACTTCTGTTTAATCAGTTTTCTGTTTGACGTTTAGTCAGCTGTGTGAAAACCACCCGGGGGATTAAT